AGTTTGGATTAAAGCTTAACATTGAACTACAGAAAGCTATTTCGGGGGGAAAAAAATACATTTTAAAAATTTTATTTGAAGTTTTCAGAACTTTAAAGCCGTATTTTCTTAAAACTTAAGTAAACAATTGCTCTGAGGTGAAAGCTTTCTTAAAAAAACAACATACGCATCTAAAAGCTATTACAAAGACCTTTCAATTTGTTTTTTTTGCGCAAGCTTTCAGAGGAGCTTTCGAGTATTCGAACTTTATTAAAAAAATTAAAAGGCGAAAGCTTCAAAACGAAAATTCGTGATGTAAAATTAAACTTTTATAAAGAGCTAACTGAACTAACTGCCGGTTTCATAAGCAATTAAGTGAAATATTATTTTTTATGTCTTTCTATATTAAATTCAAATCAAAAAAAAAATTTTCATTTTCTTTCTTTCGCTTTAAATGTAATACATAGTAAAAATATTAAACTTTAAGGGCTGAAAAAACTGAATTTTATCCGCAGACCGACTCACTGAGCTAAAATAAGAAATGAATGAGCTTACTAACAAGCTTTGAAAGCACCCCCACATTCTCTGGCAAACTTAAAGAAAAACTAGACTGAATGTTTTTAATAGTAACGAAAGCTTTTTGGAACATAATGAACTCTAAAAGATTTACACATTTAAGCTTTAGGTGAAAGCTCATACTAAACAGGAGTTTTTACGCCTTTTCAGGTTTATGATAATGTGCTTTTATTCAAATCAAATAAAATAAAAATGTTTTGCTCTCCCTAAATTCCAACTAGCTCACTCTCCTTTCTCTATCTTCCTTTCTTTTCTGCAGGCTCTCCCACTGTTGTGGCGCGCAATGCCACACCTGTCGCCTACCCAGGCTCACCGCTGCATCTTGCTGTGGAATTTTGCGCCAATCCGCCAGCGCATGCGGCCCGCTGGCTGCACGGTGATCGCGTCTACACGCCCGGCAATCAATATGGCAGCACTGTTTTGGCCTACGGCGTAACGGTAAATATAAATACGCTCACATAAAATTAAATATAAAAAAATTTTAACTATTTTTCTAACACTTTTCCAGGATTTGCCCACACCCTACTGCAAGGAGGCGCGTCTCACCTACGTCAGCATGCATGAGCGTGTGCCGCGCACTTTCTACTTCATTGTTTCTTCGCCTGGTGGTGTTGCCGAGGCGATCTTCAGAGTGAATTTCACTATGCGCTATCGCGCCGTCACCAATGCGGTAGACGATGAGGAGGAGGAGTTAAGCGAGCCGGAGGAGATCCACTTTCCGGTATTTGGTGCGGGTGCGACGGCGCGTAGTGCGCGGCGGGAGAGTAGAGTGGGTGCGACGGCAGCGTGTGTGCTCACGACACTAACGCTGCTCTGGAATGAAGCGCGCATGCGCAGTAGGCGCGGTTGGAGTTAGGTGGGCGTTTGACGTGTATGTTTTTGATTTTATTAAAGGGAATTTTTTATTTTTTTCTTTTGTTTTGTTATAAACTAACGCAACTCTAAACTTAGCTTGTAATTGTCAACTGAATGTCAAAAGCAAAAAGTATTAGCAAATACTAAAAAAATACAATTACTATTAACTACTAAACTACTATGTATAACTATATGCTAATATATATCCTAAACCTAAACCTTACTAAGTATCTAGGAGTATACTTCACAAAAAAAAAAAAAAAGAGAAAGAAATTTTGAAAATTTTCGAAAATGAATATGTGTGCTATCCTATCCTAATCTATATTGTATACATACCCCAATTACATACATATATGTATGTGCATACGTGCATGCATAGCAATCTAAGTACATACATAAGTACTTGTAAAAACAAAGACGTTATTGTAGCATTGAACTATGTATCTATGAACACAACTTAACCCCCCGCTAGCCAAGTGTAACACTACTTACTAACTAGTTAAGTAACTACTTTGATAATTAGTTTTCTAAGATTGCGATTGTTTTAGGTTTACTAGCTACATACATAACTACACAAATATCAACTATCAATCTACCTATTAAGCATTTCAGTGTTAAGCGTGTAGTCGTCTGGTCAGTGATTTAGCGTCACTAGCTACCTAGCTCCTAAAAATAAGCTAAAGCGATTTTTTGCAACATTAATTAAACGTTATAAAATAACGCTTCGCCTACTTTTTTTTTGTAAGTTTTAAGTCACGCTTGGCCAGCTTATGCACTTTTCTGAGCATATTTTTTGGCTAAAGGTTTGTTTGTAGTATCACAGAGAGCTAAATAGCATGTATGTGTAAGTCCTTTAAAGGAGATTTTATAATCCTAAACTGGCTGCCAAATTAAATTAAGTAGATTAATGTCCATAGAAAAGCGAAAGTATTTTAAGCTAATTTTTTAATTAGTTTGATTTAATGTTATGTTCCTAAGGATTTCATTATTAATTTTTATTTCTTAAAAAAAAATAAATATTTTTTAACCGACTTCCAAAAAAGGAGTGATAACCTCCGGAATATTTTTTTATTTTTTTTTTGTATTTTTTTATGTATGTTACCGCATAACTTTGGACCACGTTTACTTTTCTCTAAAATTAGAAAAACAAAATAATATTAAATTAGCTATATAAACTTTTCTGAATTTAATATTTGTTAATTTTTAATTCCTATATAACAAATAAATTATTTTTGAGCTACTTTTTAACAAAAAATCTCTCAAGAAGTTTAAAAACTTAACACGAAATTATTTTGCTCTCCCTAAATATTTTTCTTAAAAAATGTTTAAGCGGTTCTTTATTCTTTTCAAACATTTTTGTGTAATGACAAATTAGAAGCAGTTCTAAATTTTTTCCTTGAACTTATTCTTAAATTTCTTTTTAATAAAACAGCTCACCATTTTTATTTTTTTTCAAACATTTTTTCTATCTTAAAAATTTTTAAATTTTTATCTAAACATTTTTTTATTAAACATATTTTTTATCCTGGAAACTGTTTCTATTTATTCTAAAAATTTCTAAATTTTTTCCTAAATTTTTATTATTCCATTTAAGTTTTATTTTTAAATTTTTTTAATAAAAAAGCTCACCCTTTTTATTTTTTTCAAACATATTTCTAATTTAAAAATTTCCAAATTTTTATCTAAAAATTTGTTTTATTTAACATATTTGTTATCCTAAAAACGGTTTATATTCTAAATTTTTTCCTAAAACGTTTTTTATTCCATTTAAGTTTTATTTATAAATTTTTTTAATAAAAAACTCACTTTTTTCCAAAAACTTTTCCTAATCTAAGGATTTCGAATCTTTTCTAAACTTTTTTATTCAACGTATTTTTTATGTTTTTAATATATAAATTTTTTCATTTTTTCCTAAAACTTTTTTCATTCTATTTAAGTTTTATTCTTAATTTTTTTTTTAAATAAAAATGCTCACTCTTTATATTTTTTCCAAATACCTTTTCTAATCTAAGAATTTCCAAATTTATTCAAACTTTTTTTATTCAACATGTTTTTTATCCTAAAACTTTTTTTTATTTTGCATATTTATATTGTATTCTTAAATTTTTTTTAACGTTAACAAGTTTTGCACTTTTTATTTACTCTCAAAAAGCTTTTCTACTTTAAAAATTTCCAAATTTTTTCAAAATTTTTTTCCCTACAAATTTTTTATCCTCAAATTGTTTTTTATTCAAAAAAAGTTACTTACAAAAGTTTTTCATTTCAAAACCATTTTAGTGCTAGAAAATTAATCATAAAAAATTCAACTAAAACACCGTTGGGTTCGCTAATTTTCTAAAAAAAAATTATTTGCAAGCTTCTCCATATATTTTTCAAACCTTCTTTAATATTATCACAAATAAATTCTTACGTTAAATAAAAAATCCCATCAAATTTAAAAAGAAAAACAGTTCAAACTTTGAAAGCCCTCCTTATTTTTTTCTTAAATATTTTTTTTTTTACAGTAAAAATTTACATATTATTTTCTTACAAAAATTTGTATTCTACAAAAAAAAGTTTTACTTCAACAAAATGTTGTATTTTATTTTGATTCAAAACAATTGTTATTGGAACAAAAGCTGAGCAAACCACTTATCGATTTTGATCAAAAGTTTTTTACATTTCAAATATTGTATATGTACTTGTATATGTACATATGTGTATGACTTTATGTATGTGCGTAACTTTAAAAATATGTATTTAGTCTACTAATATTTAAGTTCTTGCGTGCTTACTCTCACTATTTTTAAATGCAAATGTAAAAAGTAAAAATTTATGGATTAAAAAATTATATTCTATTAGAAATTCAGTTTGCTTTATTTATTATGTAAATTCAATAAAAATTTTCCATAAATTTGAATATACAAAAATTTCAGTTTTTCCAATGGTCCTAAAAATATTTATTGTGAAAATTTCAAAATTTTAGTTACTGAATGAACCGAAATTTCTGTTTCTTTTCCATGACCTACAAAAATTTTCATAATACATAATTACAAAAAAATTATTTTTTTTTTATTACCATAAAATATTTGTTGGAATGCAAATTTACTATAAAACTTTTTTTAATATCTTTTTCTTCATTTTCATGAATTCTTATGGCTACGTTTCCAAGCAAAAAATATCCGTTATTTTTTAAATTCTGCATTTTAGTCTCTTCCTTAAAATTTGTGTAAAAACAAATATAAAAAACAATTTAATACCCACGACCCCAAAACTTAAGTCCACTTTGTAAATATTTTTGCCTTGAAAGCGAAATGAAAAAGTTTTAAAGTTAACCGCGTGTAATGTGTAAAAATTAATTAGAAAAAAGTAAAAATATTAAAAAGGAAGACAAAAAAATCGTTGAGTTCCTTTTTGGACTAACTAAGCGTTATTTTGTAATAATTTTATGATTATAATGCTAAACATTAAGAACAAAAAATTTTCTCAAGATTGTAAGAATTTTTTGAAACATCAAAAAAATTAAACTTTAGCGACTGACTGATTTTTGTTAAATAATTTTTGTAATGTATGCGTGTAAGAAGTATGTAAAAAAATAAAAACGAACCAGATTTTTTTTTTCAAATTGTGCTGCTAATTTGAAGAAAGTGATAAAAAAAATTGCATACTATAGGCTCCAAACACATTATTATGCAACACATATTATTATAGTATTATTAATATATGTACATATTAAAAAAAATGTTGTTTAAAATGTTAATGATATTTAAATAAAGAAAAAAATTAAATGAATGTGGTAAGAAATTCCTTCCATGAAATTTTTATTTGATTTAGTTTTATAGGATTGCATACATAGAACAAGAAGTTGGATGAAGTGGAAATTTTCGGCAGTTGTCGGTATAATTGCATTCGAAAAAGAAGTTTTCTTCAATTTCAATTCATATTTTTATTTTAAGCCCGCGAAAGCTTTCCACGGCTTTAGTAAAAGCTCAGCGAATATATTTCTCAAGATATTTTTCTGGTACATGATTTTTTTAATACTGGAAAATCTTCGACTTTATGCATGAAAGCTCCATAAATAAAGCTTCAAAGCTTTCAAGACTTTTTTCAGCAGAAATTTAAGCTTTCTAGTGCACCCGTTTCCCTCACTTTTTAAAATACCGTAAAAGCTTCTTGGAAGCTCGAAAGAAATATAAGCTGGTTTTACTGACTTGAAAATAATTCTAATAAACCTACAGCATTTCTAGAGGGTTAAAAAATACCAGTTTTTTTGGGATTTTTAAGACGTTTCAGTGACTGTTTTCATTTAAAGCTCTGAAGGTTAGATAACTACACATTTTTGGAAAACTTTTCGTATGCACTAACTTTTTAAGTGAAAGCTTTGTTATTATGTAGTTGTAATAAATTGTATGATTAAAAATTGAAGGCTGCAAAAGCTTTTTGAAGTATTTTTAATATTCAAAATTATTTCAAATATGAAGCACTATCACTCACAAGCAAAGCCTTTCTCGCTGGAGGAGCTTTTTAAGGGATTCTTTAGGTTTCATATGCACACGTTTAGAGTAAAAGCTCGCTCTATTCGTCATTGGGTTATGTCAACAATGAGCAGCTCTCCTTGCCCCTATATGTCTATACAATTTTATTGAAAGCTTAAAAAAGCTCGGCCCACAACAAGAGCGGTACCACTAAGGGGTTTACTTCTTTCGGCTAATATGAGGTATCCTGATCCTTAGCCAAATTGTATTTTAAAAATTCTAATAATAATAACAATTTTTTTTACATAGTATTTTTTTATTCCTACTTTTCGCAAAAAAAAAAATACTTTAAAAAATTTAACGAAAAATACGCCCTCCAAAATGTAAAATACTTTTTTAGTTGGCTTAAAAATAATTGAAATTGTAGCATTAGCTGTAAATAAAAATTTTGCGCAAAGGCATGTTTTTGCAGCGAAATTGTGTTGAATGTTGTTTATACTTAAATAGCTTATAAGAAAACTGAAACTATTTATTTTTATGGAGCTCTAAGTAAATGTTAAGTGTGTGGCTAACCTACATGCGTACATACATATGTATATGTATGTTTGTAGAAACAAGAAATTACTTTATGGAAATTGTAAAAATATTTATAAGTAAAAGCTAATAAATAAAACTTCACAGTATAATAAAAGGCACTGGAAGTGAAAATAATTTAAACTAATAAATGGGAAAATAAATTAAAAATAAATAAATAAATGAAATATTTATAAAAAAACGCTAAATGGAACAAGGACTATTTACTATGGAAAATAATTAAAAAAATAGTAATGCTACACTGAGACAAAATATTTAACAGACTTCAGCAAATAAAGCTGCTATTGTAAAATATTTCATAGGAAAAATATTGCAAATCTTATTTAAAAAAATCAAAATGAACAAGAGCTCAATGAAGCCAATTGAGGTGGACGAATTTTCGTATATTTTTTTGTATAAAGTTGTTGTGCGAAAGTTATTAATAAAAGCATGTAAATTGGTTAAAAAAAATGGTTTTTAAAATTAGAATTGTGTTAACAAAAAAAACATTGCAAAAATATGGCATAGAGATTAACGTAAAAAAAAGTTGCTTTTGTAATTTATTTCAAAAGTATCGAATAAAGAATTTTGTGGAAAGAACGGAGAAAGCAGATGAGTAAAAGAAAAAAGCAAAGATAAAGTATTAAATGACAAGCCGGAGCTTCCAAATTGACTTGGCTTTTAATGGCAATAAAAAGCCGCTCACCCAATAGCAAGCATGGATAGGTAAATGATAGCTGAAATCGTCTTATAAAAGTAAATAAGCATGTTTTCAGACTGTTGCTTGCTTAATAGAAAAAATTTAAAATTTCACCAAAGCTTTATCAAAAGTATAAAAGTGTTTTTAGTATATGTTCCCTGATAAGTTCAAAAAGCCATATTTTCATCTAAAAATAATTAAAATTTCACTTGGAAGTAAAAAGGTGATACAAACTTTGTGAAAGCTCTGCCATATACTTTAAAAGCTTTTTAGGTAAGAATAT